GGACACCTTGATTATATACGTACTGTGCAATTTCACCATGAGTATCCATGGATTGTAAGTGCGAGTGATGATCAGACTATTCGTATATGGAACTGGCAGTCACGTACTTGTATCTCTGTGTTGACGGGCCACAACCACTATGTTATGTGTGCTTCATTTCATCCCAAGGAAGATCTTGTTGTGTCAGCTTCCCTAGATCAGACTGTTCGTGTTTGGGACATTGGTGCCTTGAGGAAGAAGACTGTCTCCCCAGCAGATGATGTCTTGCGGTTGAGTCAAATGAACGCTGATCTATTTGGCGGTGTAGATGCTGTTGTTAAATATGTCTTGGAAGGTCATGATCGAGGTGTTAATTGGGCAGCATTCCATCCTACCCTGCCGTTGATTGTGTCTGGGGCTGATGATCGACAAGTGAAATTGTGGCGAATGAACGGTACTTAATTGAGAACTTGTGCTTTCTCCTTGGAGTTTAATTTTGAGCTTGTATTGATGAATCTATCTAGTTGTCCTTAATATTGATATATTATTGACAATAGTCGTTTGTAGACAGTAGGAGAGTAATCCTCTCATCTCTCTATGCTCTAAGTGTTTAAGTTGAACAAGAGATAGGCTATAACCTGCTTGAAATTTATTTGCTAGGGTCATAGGGAGCTGCTTGGAAGGTTTGCAAATTATTAGTTGTGAGTACTTTATTGAATCTTTAAAAAAATTCATATTTATGGTATAGAATTTGTGGGGATCATTATGTTACTTTTGGTTTATCTCCCCCACTATTAAGAACACAAGTAGAAGGAGACGGGAATAAAGCCTTATCAATGCACATCAAGTATAGAACAGTATGACTTTTAATACTAACTTGATCATTTTCCTTTCAGACACAAAAGCATGGGAAGTGGACACACTAAGGGGGCACATGAACAATGTTTCAAGTGTGATGTTCCATGCAAAACAAGATATAATTGTTTCCAATTCAGAGGACAAAAGCATTCGCATTTGGGATGCAACAAAGCGAACTGGACTTCAGACATTTCGTCGAGAGCATGATAGATTTTGGATTCTCACTGCACATCCTGAGATGAATCTATTAGCAGCTGGGCATGACAGTGGCATGATTGTCTTTAAGCTGGAGAGAGAAAGACCTGCATTTGCTACTAGTGGCGATTCTCTATTTTATGTGAAAGACCGCTTTTTGCGCCTCTATGAGTTCTCCACTCAAAAGGATTCACAGGTCATCCCAGTTCGAAGGCCTGGTTCCACTAGCTTGAATCAGAGCCCAAGGACCCTTTCATTTAGCCCTACAGAAAACACAGTTCTTATTTGCTCAGATCTGGATGGGGGATGTTATGAATTTTACACCATAACTAAGGATAGCTTTGGTAGAAGCGATAGCTTTCAAGATGCAAAGAGAGGACTTGGAGGATCAGCAGTGTTTGTGGCTCGAAATAGGTTTGCTGTGCTCGATAAAAGTCACAATCAAGTCATGTTAAAAAATCTAAAGAATGAGGTAGTTAAGAAGGTCCCTATTCCCATTACTGCAGATGCGATATTTTACGCTGGAACAGGTAATTTATTGTGTCGAGCAGAGGATAGAGTTGTTATATATGATCTTCAGCAGAGACTTATTCTTGGTGATCTTCAAACCCCATTTGTTAAGTACGTTGTTTGGTCCAATGACATGGAGAGTGTTGCATTGCTTAGCAAACATGCAATTATTATTGCTAACAAGAAACTTGTTCACCAGTGCACTCTTCATGAGACAATTCGTGTGAAGAGTGGAGCTTGGGATGATAGTGGTGTTTTTATTTACACAACCCTAAACCACATTAAGTATTGCCTCCCCAATGGTGATAGTGGTATAATCAAAACCCTCGATGTTCCAATATATATTACAAAGGTTTCTGGCAATGCTCTTTTTTGCTTAGATAGGGATGGAACGGTTAAGTCGTTTACTATCGATGCTACAGAATACATGTTCAAGCTCTCTCTCTTGAAAAAGAGATTTGACCATGTCATGAGCATGATAAGGAACTCACAGCTCTGTGGGCAAGCAATGATTGCGTATTTGCAACAGAAAGGGTTTCCTGAGGTTGCACTTCACTTTGTGAAGGACGAGAGGACCAGGTTCAATTTGGCTCTTGAGAGTGGAAATATTCAAATAGCAGTTGCCTCTGCTACAGCAATTGATGAGAAAGATCATTGGTATAGGCTGGGTGTCGAAGCTCTTCGTCAAGGCAATGCCGGCATTGTGGAATACGCCTACCAGAAGACTAAAAATTTTGAAAGGTTATCGTTCCTTTATCTCATAACTGGTAACACAGCCAAACTGTCCAAGATGTTAAAAATTGCTGAAGTTAAGAATGACGTCATGGGTCAATTTCACAATGCTCTATATCTTGGTGATGTTCGTGAGCGTATCAAGATTTTGGAGAATGTTGGCCACTTACCTCTTGCATATATTACAGCGTCAACCCATGGTTTACATGATGTAGCTGAAAGGCTGGCTGCTGAATTGGGGAATGACATTCCATCTTTACCAGAAGGCAAAACCGGATCCCTCCTCTTGCCTCCTACCCCAGTCATGTGCGGTGGTGATTGGCCACTTCTGAGAGTCATGAAGGGAATATTTGAAGGTGGGCTGGATAATGTAGGTGGGGGTCGTGCTGACGACGACGACGATGAGGTTGCCGAGGGTGATTGGGGTGAGGAGCTGGATGTCGTTGATGTCGTCGATGGCTTACAGAATGGGGATGTTACAGCAATTTTGGAGGATGGGGAAGGTGCAGAGGAAAATGAGGAAGAAGGGGGATGGGACCTTGAAGATTTGGAGCTCCCACCTGAAGCTGACACTCCCAAAGTGTCGGTCAGTTCTCGGAGTTCAGTTTTTGTGGCCCCAACTCCTGGCCTGCCTGCCTACCAGGCTTGGATACAGAGGTCATCTCTTGCTGCAGAACACGTTGCAGCTGGTAATTTTGATACTGCAATGCGGTTACTTAACAGGCAACTTGGAATTAAAAACTTTGCTCCCTTAAGATCCATATTTCTGGATCTTCATGCTGGAAGTCAGACCTATCTCCGTGCTGTTTCATCTGCCCCCATAGTGTCCATGGCGATAGAACGAGGATTCAGCGAATCTATTAATACAAATGCAAAAGGATCCCCTGTACTTATTTTCAGTTTCACTCAGTTGGAGGAGAAGCTTAAAGCTGGTTATAAGGCCACAACATCAGGAAAGTTTGCTGAGGCTCTTCGTCTTTTTCTCGGTATTCTTCATACCATCCCTCTTATTGTTGTTGAGTCTAGGAGGGAAGTCGATGAGGTGAAGGAGTTAATTATTATCGTTAAAGAGTACGTTTTGGGTTTGCAAATGGAACTGAAGAGGAGAGAACTCAAGGACAATCCAGTACGTCAAATGGAGCTTGCAGCCTATTTTACTCACTGCAACCTTCAGATGCCACATTTGAGGCTTGCTCTATTAAATGCTATGACTGTCTGTTACAAGGCCAAGAACCTTGCCAGTGCTGCCAACTTCGCTCGTAGACTTCTCGAGACCAATCCCTCAATTGAGAATCAAGCTAAGACAGCCAGACAAGTGCTGCAGGCTGCAGAGAGGAATATGACAGATGCATCCCAACTGAATTATGACTTCCGAAACCCCTTTGTGACCTGTGGAGCAACTTACGTGCCAATTTATCGGGGTCAGAAGGATGTTTCTTGCCCATACTGTAGTTCCAGGTTTGTGCCAAGTCAGGAAGGGCAACTTTGTACTGTTTGTGATCTTGCTGTTGTTGGTGCAGATGCATCTGGTTTACTTTGTTCTCCCACCCAAAATCGATGATTGCACTCAGGGAATTACATCTTTTCGCAATGATCTCACTTATCTTTCCAACAACAGGTGCTTTGTTGTTGAGAGTATTCATGAGTGTACTTGTGGAAGGTACTAGAACGTGACGGAGTAAACAGCTAGCCTACCTTGAAAAAATTTCGGTTCTGCTACTTAAATTTCTTGTCGTTTCTTTTTTGTTTAGTTGATTGTGATATCACTGTAATAAAGTTTTCAGAATTTTGAAATAGGCTATTCATGTTAGGTATGATGAGATGAAATACAGGACGGCTTTATATGAATTGATTGTTACAGGGAGGACATGACATCTTACATGTTAATGTTTGCAGGACCCTCCCGCCGAATTCTCGTTGTCTGTTACGCAGCGAGAGGCTTTTGCTTGGTAAAATATAATCATTTTTGTGAACTTTTTTCGTATTTGTTCTCTTGCATCCTTCTTTTTCTAGAACTATAGCTTTTGACCATGATTTTGAAAAGATATGTGCTTATGAGGATGGTGGCAAGTATTGTTCATGCTAAGGCATGTTTGTCAGACATGAGATTCTAGGTGTGCTCTTAAGTCCTAGCAAGGAGTCTTAATTTGATCATGTTTTAGGCTGAGGAGGAGTCTTAATTTGATCATGTTTTAGGCTGAGGCAGCTTCATATAGAGCTTAACTATACTATCAAATAGTTTGAACGCCTCACCCACAGCTGGCCAAAAAGGGGAAGGACTTTTTCCTCTGAAGTAGGAAAATCATGATCATGATCAAAATATCTGACTCAAAGCTATTAAACTTGGGTGAGTCTTTTGTCGAAATGGGATGGCCTTATCTTTTTATTATTATTTTTTTTTTGTTGGGGGGAGGGGTTCAGAGTTTGAACATATGGCGTGCAAGAAATGGTATTTTAGGAGTCCTAGTTTTTACTTGAGCATGACCTTTCTTGCGAATTGATGACGAAAGTCACTAAGAATACCCATTGAAACAAAACACCTTATTTTCCCAACTATATGATTCATTACTTACCCCATAAGCAAGATCTTGGCAATGGTGATCTTTCCTTTGCGGCTGATCTGATATTCTTTCCATACTTAATTTAGGTTGCGGGCTGTAGTAGATAGCCAATTGCTTCAATATCCCCCAACTGTACTCAAAAGATTCACCATGAGAGAGTTCACAAGCTCAACAAGCAATCTTTACCAGAAGAAAAAGATAGCAAAGAGCTTGTTTTTGCTTACAAACAATCCAAACTTAACCAAAACAGCTTGAGCTAAATATAAATATGCATGTATATAAGCTACTTTTTCAAGTTTCTAAACCAACAGAAATCTGAGAGTTCAAATTCTACGCGCTTTAAATGGCAGTTCATAACTTAACTTCCTTCCATAGGTGATAATATTGCCATATATACAGGAATTATAGCTGTGAGTAATCTCCAGCAGTTCGTATACTAGTTCGAGGTGATATGAACTGCAGCTACTGTCGACACCATGGAATCGACACCACAGATATTGCGACCCCTGCAGAGTTTGTAGTATCCATTCTCCCCCCATTTGGCTCCCCACGAGTTCTTAATGATCCAGTAAGGTTTTTCTTTCATTCGGATGGGAGCATAGGCAGCTGATCCATAACCAACCAATAGAACTCCATGATCTAAGTGCTTTGAGCAAATGTAAGGGCAAGAAACCCCACCAATATATGTCTGCATGAATACAGCATTGATACCAACTGCATTCAAGATAAATCGAGCAGTGAGCAACTATAAAGAAAAGAATAGGATTTAAGATATAGCATGGTTGAGCCTGTAATTACTTGCAAGAGGGCCATTTTTCACGAGATTGGCAGCAATTTGTTCTTCATCAAGGGAGATCACACTAAAGTTGGCTACTGATGCTGCAATTTTGGTCTTGTCAAATTTGCAGGCTCCACGATCTGTACCAGTGTATGGGTAGTCTTTCTCTTTCATTAGTCCACCGGCTTTCAATGTGTACTCGAATGCACTATTCATTAGCCCCCCACTGCAGCCAGCATCACAGGAACCTTTTTCTTCTGGATCACACTGGCAAACACCATAGAAGTGCATTAAATTGCATGAACATAAAAAGAAACACCTTCCTTAATGAAGCTCCAGAGTAGATAAGTGAACCAAATCATTCATCCCTTGAAGTAAGGCTAAATCATGCACTTGAATCCTTTTGAAGACTGCCGAATTTGCTAGTACATATGATTTATGAGCACAGCCAATACTAAACAGATGCAAATATTTACCAATTGTCTCCAAAGTTTGCAATAGAGATACTAAATCTAATAGAGAGCAACCAACCATCAACATAAACGGGAAACATAGATCATCAAGCGCAAGAACAGGTATTTTGCTTCCTAAAACAATGGAATCATGTGCAGAAAGGTAGATTTGACACCCAATACAGTATCATAAACGATCATAATCAAAACGTAAATTCTGAAAAACTCACTTCATAAATTGCAAATCAAAGATGGATGAAAATTAAAATCCAAACCTCATGATCACAGTCAACAAGCTGTTGTTCGCTGAGGCTAACAAGTTCGCCGGAAGAAAGGAAGTTAGCGCCCTCAAGAGCACCGGTTGAACTGAAACTCCAGCATGATCCACACGAACCCTTATAAGAAAACAGAAACAATATCAATCACAGCAATCAAAACCTCCGTTCAATAAATATTAGTCATCTTGGTTTTAAAAGAATTAATTGGAAGTCATCGTCAACATAAGGAATAACAGATACAGAGTACGAGTTGAAACTAAAAGAACTATTTATTATAAAGAAAAAAAATATAAAAGATACGGAAGAGAATCTGAAAGCATTAAATTCCATACTAAAATAAGACGAAGATGACTCTTCGCCCCAGATTAAAAAAAAAATTATAGGAAAAATAAAGATAAACGTAAGACTAAATTAAAAAAGAAGAAAGAAAAGAACCAAACCTGATTCTTGACTTCCGTGACAGCTCCATGATCTCTCCAATCGAAATCAGTCGGAAGGCCATCAGTAGGAAGAATAGGGGCTTTGTTAGCGTCCACAGGGAGTCCAAGACGGCGACCTCTAAGCCCTAGAAACAACCTTCGGAATTCCGATGGTGTCAAATCAGAGAACTGAGTGACGCCATGAGTAGCAGATGGATCAAGAGCCTGGTGGCGCTGAGCTCGCCTCAGGTTGGCTTTGAAGACCCTGAACCGATGATCATGCTCCTCCTTAGAGGCGTATGACTTCCCAAACTTCTGCTTGAAGACTGAAAAGTGGTGCTCAGCTCCGAGTAGCAGATCGTCGCCGTTACTTCCTCCTCCGTTGACTCCTCCATCGTCGACAACCTGACGGATTATGGAATCTCCATAACCATCGCCGGAGAAATGATCCCCGCCGATCGCCGATACGGCGAGGAGAGAGAGCGCGACGAAGAGAGAGAAACACTTAACCATTCTCCCGCTGAAAATTGAAGTTGAAAAAAATGGAAAAGAAGAAGAATCAGAAACTATGAATATGAGCATCTGAACATGCCTTTTTATGCTGCTGCTTCACGGGGCGAGTTATATTATTGTGTAACTAATTCCATTATAATCCCGCTTTAGGGTTTCGAATCCAACCGTTCTTTTGTTATATTGGGGGGTCCCACTGATTAATAAACGGTGTGGATTGAGGAATTTGTTTCTGATGTTGTATGTATAACTGCCTCCCCTTATGTGTGTTTTGCTTGAGAACGTAACCAATGAAGAGATGACACGTGTATAATTTTGATTCGGTTTCTAAAAGCTAATATCCACGTTTTTTTTTATTAGGTAACTTGATTTTGATTGCCATGGTCCAGCTTATCTAGGGCTTGGTCTCTCTCGGGTTCTATTTTGGGCTTTTTAATTGGATCAAGGCCCAATAATAATAAATTCCTTAATGGGCCTTTTCTTTTAGCCAGGCCCAATGTTCATTAGTTTTGGGTAGGGCTTTTTTAATGGGTTGGATCGAGTTTCAATAATTCAACCCAAATAATGATTACATTTTGAATCACCTGGCTTTCGTCGACCTAGAGGTGTTTGGTCCATGGTTTAGTCAATTCATGGGCTATATATGTGTAAATATATATAATTAGTTAATTAAAAAATGAAGGGAAAAAGAAAAAAAAAAACAATACAGTCAAACCTGTCAACGCCATTGACGACAATTCCATTTCATGAGAAAGGGTTGCCGCTGCTGGAACACACCGACGGAGCTCCGATCATGTCGTGAAATGAAATCCAGTGTACAGATATAAATAATTTGAGTATTCATCGGGCACGGTCTGGATGTACCACCATTAGCCGTCCGGTCATCGGGGGGGAATTGAGGAACCTAGCTGTTTGATCTTCGATGGCTGACTCGTAAAAAAAATGTTAACGACTATGGTGGAATTCTAGATCAACGAAAGAAGGAGAGGATGAGAAACAGAAGAAATCTGGCTGTGGTTTCGGAACCAACCTGTGAAGCATTCATCGTCTCTTGCTCTATCGGAAGGCTGAAGCCGGGATTCGTCGTCGTAAAGTAAGCCTTGGTCTGTATATTCTTTCTGCATCTGTTTCTCTTTGATTGGGTTTTGAGTTGATTGTGATGAAATCTGGATGTTAGGGAGCATTATTTAAGTAGAATTGGGAGGGCAATGCGTTCTGAGTTACATTTAGGGTTGCGAGGTTCTTGTTTCCCCTTCGTAATCACGATTGCTGATAATCCCTTTCACTTCATATGGCTAAACCAATCTTAGGAGCACGGTGTTAGAGATTTTGAGTGATCCTACGTCGGTCGGAAAAGGGAACGAAACAATTTTTTATAAGGACGTGGAAATCCCTCCCTAGCATTTGCGTTTTAAAAAAAACCTTGAAAGGAACATCGGAAGGGAAAGCCGAAAGAGGACAATACCTGCTAGCAGTGGGTTTCGGCTGTTACAAATGGTATTAGAGCTAGACACCAAACAGTGTGCCAGCGAGGATGCAGAGTCCCAAAGGGGGTGGACACTAGAGCCCAAAGAAGGTGGATTGTAAGATCACATATTGGTTGGACAGGGGATCGGACGTTGTTTACCAGGGTGTGGAAACTACTCCCTAACATATGCGTTTTAAAAACCTTGAGGGGAAACCCGAAAAAGAAAGCCCAAAAAAGGCAATATCTAATAGCGTTATTCTTGGGCGGTTTGATTCTTAAGTATTTTGAAGGGGAAGTTGGGTTAGATACTAGCACATATCTAGAACTAAACCTTTCTCGGAAAAAAAAAAACGTTTGTGTTATAAGCTGGGAAATAAAGTTCTCTTAGGTTACAGAGACCAAAATTAACGAAAGCCAAAAGTACAATACCAAAATAGTATTTAACCTTCAGAATCCAAAGACTCATACAAATTTCATACTATACTAATCTTCTCTGTTTGTTTGACAACATCCATTGATGTCTGTAATACAATTGGATTTTGTTATGAACTGAAGTTGCAGGAAATGAGGATTCGAATGTCTACTTCTACGACTACGAGTTCTATGATTCGACACGAGCTAAACATACTTGTGCAAACTAGCTACAGATTCTCTCTAAGGTAAAACCATTAGTTGACAGTTTGTTGTCGATTGACCGGCACATATGTGCCTCTGCAGGGCCACTGGTTTCCGGTCACCGGGGTTGCCTGCAACCATGGGGAGAATCTGTTGGCTTCCTTCGATGTTTATGGGAGGGTAATTGTATGAGATCAAAGATGAGCTAGAACTTAGAATGATATATGTGGGAATAGATTTTCTAAATAGCTCTGTTGGCTTCCTTTTATCAACTTCAGATCATCATTCAGTACGAAAATCGATTGACAAAGAAAAAACTGGAGTTTGAAATGGAATATGAAAGTTCATGATGAATTCAACTAAGATTTGTCACTGCTTCATGAAATCAACTAGAAAAACTCAGGCGAAGTTTTTATTCATATTTACCAAGTGATATAGGTCATCACTAGCAAGCAGAAGAAAATGAAAACTCCTAACAAAATCTAAACCAACCTACTGTATCTTCCAAGGACAAAAAAGCTTGAAATCTGTTGATATGATATGCTTTCCTAACTAAAATAAAGATTAAATATTTGCATCCAATTCTACTCTACCTTGTTTGATATGTACTCAAGAGCCATAAATCTATCTAATTTACGTGTTCTATGTAGTTACCCGACGTTGACAGACAACTTCAGCAGATAGTTTTTTGCTTAGATTTGGACATGGATCGCCTCCGAAAATGCTCGTTGGTACGGTTGCCAGGCATCTCTGTCGACCAACACATAGCTGGAAAAGACGGTATAAATTAGGAACTTAGAATTGTAGTTTGAAGTTTTGATCTTCTCGATTACAGATCAATCATCAAGACAATATTTGAAAAGGTTGGTTATATATGGGTGTAAATTCAGATACCTTTTGCAACACGGATTGTGAATTTGGAAAATGACAGGTTCCCTGCTGAAGATTTCCACAAGCTCCACTTGGAGTTCCAAAGCTGACAAATTTGATAGCTGAAATGAACTGCCTAGCTGCACAATGCAGGTTGATCTTAACCACATTCTGCTCATTCAATCTTCCATGGTTCTGATGAGTGTTTTTGATAACAGGGCGATACTCGGATGCCTCGGTACAAATGCTTGTAATTGATCTCTTTACAAGAGTGATCCCTGAAGGATTCCCGCCCATCTCCTCAAAAACCACAATTAAATTTCTTGATGGCATCAACCAAGATCGAGGAATGTGGTACCTAAATGATAAACATATCAAATAAAATGCAGAATTTAGTGTTCGTCCTATGTCCAATGTTTAGCATCTGTAAATGTAGATGTAAAGAACTTGCCATTGTTGAGTCGGATGACCACACCCAGATTGGCATTTGTTTGGGCGGTATGTACCCGAGTAGCTGCAATCAGTGCAGTTTCCTTTGGCATGGACAGTCCAGTATCTTCCAATATTCTTCCCATTTATCCATACTTGACCCTTCTGCATACTACTCATGTCTAAAGCCAAAGGTTCGTCTCCTTCGGGCGCATTGAAATAAGCCTGCAAGTTGAAGCAAAATAGTGTCAACAATGGTTCTCCAATCTGAACGATGATGAGAGTTATAGACTATGTAGAAGAATGAAGAATTCTAGTTCTTTAGAACCATTGTAGTCAAGCTTCAACCATGTACCTTATACCAAGTAAGCGGCTGTGTGTTTTCTTGTACCGATGAATCCCATACCCAATCAACTGCTGGAATAGTGCTTAGAGAACCCAAGTTCATGGCTTCTCCTTCCAGACCAACCTGTCAAACAGGAAAAACATAAGGAAACTAGTGGAGTGCATAGAAAAACTGAGAAATGTGGTTGCATTTGCAGACCTTATATGACCATGTCTGTCTAGATAAGTCCATCGTTCCCTTGTCCAGCCCATGTATAGCAACTGGTCCAAGCACTCCCATTTCTCTCATCTCAAAATGAGGACCGTTGTTCTTCATCCACCAACAAGGAAAAGAACATCAAACAAAGATAAACCAGAGTTCTGACAAACTTCGTTTAGATTAAGATTTTTCATTTTCGTGAGATTAGAGCCCTAAGTATAACATTCTTAGCAACCATGAGAAGAGAGTTGCATAAAGAAGATGGACTGTTTGTTTCAAGTCTGATTTCAGAATTCTGATCAGGTAATTTACTTTTAGGAAATGATTAGTGAATCATAGTTCATATGATCAGGGACTAGAAAACTAACTGGCAATCCAGCAGCCATGCTTAACAGAGAAACTCTGTTTACTCCAGCTTGCAACTGAATTCTTCCCGTGAACTTAAATTTACTGCTGTCATGGTTCCCGAAGCTCGATCCTGCGTTGAGGAAAGGTATTGCCTAATCAGAATGAGCTCGGTAGAAAGGCATACACAGAAACATAGAAGTTGAGGTAAGAGATTCGATGATTCACCAGTTAGCTTTCCATTAATGAATACATGCATGCCATGACCAGTTGATCCCGCAACGAGAGTAGGAAGCCTCCCTCCACGCAGGAAGGATTCGTTTGAATCTACCTTGACACTGGAAAAATCCAGGTAATAAATATGTTTTCATTATGTAATCGTTCTCTATGTTATATATATAATCTAAGCACCATTTTTACCTGGTTGTATACCAAAGATAGTCGGTGGTGTCTCTAGTGATGTTTAGTTGCTCCAAAAGACCACCATATGACATCAATGGACCATCTTCAATCGAAGATATGTCTTCATTAAAAGTCTCCCACAAAAACGGTTCAACATTCGTCGGTGAAAATGACATCTGGTTTATTTGAACTTCAACCTGGAGCATGAAGAATTAGGATTTACCTTGGTATGTACAATTAGATTGCATGACTGATTTGGAAGATAATCTGAGTGATATAAACGAAGGCATCTATATGTAATATAAACTTCAAGAAAGATATGAAAAAAATGAAGTTGGCATATTATGCTTCTTAAGCCATGAGTTTTTTTCTTTACATTTCTCATGTTTA